CTCAACTGACACAGACAATGTGGTTTACGGGACCCCCTACTTGTATAACCCAAGCACACCAGACAATGACATAAGTCAACGGTTTGAACTGGTCAATCCTGAAACAGACATGGAAATACGCCCTGAAGTGAACAGTTTTCAGACTCAAACCGGGGTCTTGCTGCCACACGGTTCCAATGTTTCTCATCCATGCACTGATTGTGCTCTCTCACACGGGGTATTGGATTACTCATACACATTGCCAGAGCTCACAAACATGCCGAGTCCTGCAAATGTAAAGGGTGGCACCACTGCAAGCTCCCATGCACACAAGATTAGTTGTCACAAGCGAGACATGTCATTATTAGAACTGCTCAGGAGGAAGTTTTCTCAAACGAATTCACAGCTCTTGAGCTTAGACAGGCTGTAACCAGAGACAGTCCACCCCAGAAGCTAAGACCTCTGCTTGAAGGAGATCTGATTCGTGTTGGTGGCAGACTGAAACATGCTGAATTGAGCATTCAGGAAAAGAATCCCATCATCTTACCTAAGAACAGCCACGTTTTTGCTGTTGGTACGACAGTACCACGAAGATGTCAAGCATCAAGGCCGCCACTTCACTGAAGGGGCCCTTAGAACAGCAGGTTTCTGGGTCATAAACGGAAAACGGCTAATTTCCTCAGTCACAAATGCGTAGTGTGCCGGAAGCTAAGGGGAAGGACAAAGGAACAAGTTATGGCCGATTTACCCCCAGAATGTCTACACACGTCAACCCGTCAGCTGCGTTGGTGTGGATGTTTTTGGACCTTGGTCAGTTGTTTCCAGGCGCACACAAGGTGGCCAGGCTCAAAGCAAGAGATGGGCAATGCTTTTCTGCTGCATGAGCTCCCGAGCTGTGCATATCCAAATAATCGACTCCCAGACACGACCAGTTGCATTAACGCAATGAGACATTTTTTCGCTATAAGAGGACCTGCAAAGCAGATAAGATCTGACTGTGGGACAAACTTCATAGCAGCTGCAAAGGAACTAGGTCTGAGTAAAAATCAACTTGACAGTACCGTTGAGAACTTCTTGAGTTAGCAAGGATGTTCATGGGTGTTCAACCCTCCACATGTGTCCCATATGGGAGGATCATGGGAACGTATGGGTTGGCAAGACGGATTTTGGATGCAATTCTGCTAAAAGAGCATATACAAAGCTGTATTTTCATGCTAAACCAGAAGTAGGAAGTAAAGCGCTAGAATTACGCTTGGGAAACGATTTCCAGTTCAGCGAACCGTTAAAGTGCAGATGAGCATCACAGCAGAAAGGTCTTCAACTTCCCAAGCTTTTCATTCACAGTGGGGGAATTACTCGTATGTATTTTTTATACATTAATTAACTTAATTTGTATGTCTAATTTGTTCAGGATTCTAGGGCATTTAATTGTTCCGTATGTTGTATTCTGTTTTTTTCTCCTAGTTTTCACATGTGAATATTGAACGTTTTCTAGACCAGTTGTCATTTGAAGTTGGATTCATTACAATATGAAGAATAAAATTCAATTAAGCAAGAACCATGGCGTCCTTCATATTCATGAATATAAGAGAGTTTAGCTGACTGTCTAGTCAGAGTTCCTACACCTTGGCGAGGACAGAACAAACATTATGATTAATAATTATTAATAGGTGCTTAAGACTATCATATATGGTGTATTTTCAAAGTTTGTAAATGTGAAAACATTCCTGTCCCCAAGGGGGGCATGACAAAGAAAATGGCAAGAGAACCACTGCTATTTAAGCAACAAACCTAATATTAAAGTTATTATAAATTAAAAATATATAAATCTGTTATGAAACATTAGAGTTCTGATCATATTTTTACAGTTCCTTGTGCCATTTCATCTCAATATTTATTTTCATTCAACTCACCCTTCCTCAGGAACAGAGAACCTCACAGTGCGGCAATCCTTGTCCACCTGCTCTACTTTGAGTTCATCGTCAGGAAAGTCTCCCAGCTCTTGCATCAGAGCCAAGTCTCCACTTTGTAGTTGAGACATCAAAAACTCCTCGAGGTCAAGGGGCTCCACTGCGTCATACGACTGGGGCTGAAAAAGAAAGAGTAAGAAAAGGGTAAGAAAAAAATATATACTGTCACAGTATTATCCACATTATTTATGGATTAAAACCTGAACAAAGGTGAACTTTTTGTCTAAACTTGATGAGTCATGTTTTGGCCCCCTCACATCTCAGCATCGAGGAGCAGGTATAAAAGCGGACACATACTGTAAATAGAAACAGGCAAAAATGGGTCTTCAGCAGACAGAGGCAATTTTTTTTCATTCACTGTATGTTTTTTTTTTAACAACCTGCTCTCCAGTCTCAGCACATCAAAAGAAAATGTGTAATAATCACTTTTATGTACAGTAGATATTGTTTTATATCATCATATGGGACTTTGAGTCAAAACACAGTATTAAATCAGCTACGAACATACCGGCAAGAGTGAGAAGAAAACTGAAAAAACCTTCTCATTATTTTTTATTTTATTTATTATTATTTTATTTTATTTTTATTTTAAGTGTCAGCTCTCCCTCGAGAATACATTGCTGATAAGATGTGGAGTTTTTTCTTTGGTGGTGCAAGTCTGATTTGTTTAGGCTGAACCTGCATGATGGTGTCTCACTGAAGACGATTGGAAAACAATCTGCTAATCACAATTCGCAGGCTCTGGCTAAAGATAAAAAAAATAAAATAAAATAAAACATACTAACGTAGAAAACAAACAAACAAACAAACAAACAAAAAAAACAGAACTTTGTTCTTTTCACGTTAAAGGGTAAAACTGGCACAATACAGAAATAATTTTGAGGAAAGTTCTAGAAATTAGAAGAAATGTGGGCACAACTCTGTACAGGAAGTAGGTGAATTTTCCAGTGACACACAAAATAACACGTTATACATGACTAGGCAGAGAAAAAGTAGCTGCAGAAATACCATGTGTCACTGCTGCTACCTAGTAGTACAAATTCATTTTGCCTCCAGACATGTTTTTACACATTGATCCTCCCTTGGAGAGAGCACCACATGAGCAAACAACCAGATGAGTAGTTCTTAATACTTTTTACAAGACTCAGTGCTGTCCTAAACGTCAGACACTCATTACATCATAACTTTTTTTAAATGTTTGCTATGTATACTTACAAATACAAATTAATGCAAATCTATGAATGCCTACAATCGCTGCCAGCTGCTCTGTGGAGTCCTGAGAAGAGCTCATATCTCTGTCTAATCTGGCAGAAATAAAACATTCAATTCAATCAAACGTAATAATAATAAACTTAATACAGAAACAACTACGATAATAAATTACTGCGGAGCATAAACAGGGATAGCAATTAGGGATTGCGAGTTTTGAGTTTACATGTTATTTGTACAGTAAAGTACACCATAACTACTCTGACTGCCAGGAGCAAAAATGGCAAATAAAAAAAGTACATGAGAAATAATGCACAAAGTACAGCCACATTGCAGATGGGTTAATGAACTCATAATAGTGTGTTACTCACAGGATCAATGCTAAACTTACCCAGTTGAAAACCTAGCAGTGGTAGCATGAAAAAGGAAGTATACAAAATGGCGCACTCCGGATATAGGAACCTGTCGTCTGTCACCTAGTAGCACTCACTGTTTTCAGTTTAAACTAAACCACCTTCCAGTTCACCAGTTTCCTTCCTTCCAATCTTAACATCACCGATATAGCCAAATATCCAACGAAGTTTCACGGTTTTTTTGTAGACAGCAAGAATGACCACTGCAAGAAGGCGCAAAGTGTTTTGACATCATCTATGAACATTTAGGCAAATGGTTGAACGAGTTGACAACAACGACATTAAAAGGAAGCTATTTCAACAGACAGGAAGAGACACTTCATACCAGAGGCAGAAATGTACTTCTTACAACAAGGGGTGGAGCCACTGTCAAATATGTTTAAGGGACATTTTTGAATATTCATTTTTTTTATTAATGCTGCGTCTATGCTGTGTATAGTGTTAGCATCTATCTTATCTAACTTTACTTTTATTTTTGTTAATGTACAGATTTTTCTTTGGATATATTTGTCAATGATAATTTATCTTGAACACGATTAATTGCAATTAACCCACAGCTTTCCTGCAATAAGATTAATTTCTTTTAATTCTTTCTCAAAAAATAATTCCTAAAGCAACTAGCAGTTATTTTTAGTAACATGGCTTTGATAAGGTTTCACTGACTCACTTCTGTTTGGTTCAGGGTCATTTATAGGTTCCGGGCTCCACTCATTTTTGACACGATGAACATTGTAGGTGCAATGGGTCGAGTGCTGCTTAAGGCTGCTCTTGCCTGCAGTATGTGGTTTATAGACCTGGCAGGAAGTGAAAGGGCATCAGACACCAAAAAAACAAACAGACACAGTCGCATAGAAGGAGCTGAGATCAACCAAAGTCTCTTAGCAGTAAGCTAAGTAAGTGATATGTTAACACACACAAAGAGCTCAAATACAGAAACAAAGGTCATTGTATTTACCTTTTATTTGTTTAAAGCTCAAAGAATTGTAGGTGCAATGGGTCGAGTGCTGCTTAGGAGCACTCGGTGTTATCAACCAGTCTCAAATTAATAACACAACCAGTCTCATTAAAGTTATCTTTAATTATTATTTTAACCTACTAATATAGCAATAATGTATTACTTGAAGTATTACAAATATACTAAAATCAATAGTATCCAATAACAATTAAATATCTGAAGGATTTTGAGAGTTCTTGGCAAATTGGGTGGCTTCAATGAATAAAGTAACAACACAGACAAATACAGTTTACAAAAATAATCAAATTTATTTATACAACACTGTCAAGTTAATGACGGTGATTGAACTCATAAACAATGATCATTATAACAAAACAAGGCGTGTGTGTAGGGGTGTGTGTGTACTTATGTGCGTGTGTACACGAGCGGTCGTGTACGAGAGAGAAAGAGAGAGAGAGATGTTGCCTCTCAGCTACCAAGCAAGCGACTGAGCCCTTGAGGCGTGTTCACATACGCGACTGCGCAGTGGAAGAAGAACTGCGAGGTAGAAGGAACGGCAACAGGAAACACGTGAGGCGTGTATGCGCTCACGGAGGTGTGAATGGGTGTTGTGTACGCGCACCAAGATGCGCTCAGGTACAATGAAACAGTGCTTGTGATGTTATCAAAGTATATGGGGGAAGGGAGGCGTACCGCGTGGTCTACTCCAGACAAAGGACTTTGTCGGAGTTTTCCTGATCCCAATACTGATAACGTTACAAGTTAACACTGAAATACTGACGGTGTACAAGAGTATAAGACCGAGTCAGGAGGTTAGAAAAGAAGTGCATGCAACAGCCTAGCTATAAAAGCAGCACAGATTTCAGACAACAAAATTCAATATGCGTACTTAAACTGTCCCTAAGTTTAAATAGCACTTAACAATACTACAGATTAACTAACGTGCCCAAATGCCAGCCTTACTGTAGTGAACGTCTGCTCGTATTTAGAGGGTAGTGGAAAGTCCGTGCTTCTTGGGTCCTTGCCAGAGCTGGGGACGTCCGTCTGGTTCCACTGTGTCCAGAGAGTCCTCTTGGTTCCGAAAGTCCGTTTCAGGAGGAAAAGTCTCTGACTGTCGATGTGCCGGTTCACACGAATACCGTTAGAAGGAATCCTGTCGCTTCTAACTTTTCAATAACTGCTTTGGTCGCAGCGCTACGTTACTTGTGTAACTTAATTACCGGTTAACTCAGTTAAGAAAAAGACGCTACTAGTGCATTTATCACCGTGGGCAATGGTGTCTACAAAAGCGCGTTGGTTCTTAGTCTTCTGAGACGAGCAGGTTTCTCTTATCATCAGGGTCCTACGGAGCGAAAGTCCTGAACAGAGAGAATGAAATTGGGCCAATTTAAAGGTTGCGGAGGTTACTGATCGTGATGTATGTGGATTTACCGGAAGCAGTGGAATTTTGGGAGTTAGAGTCCTTAAAAGGACTGTGGTAGTACCTACAACATTATAGTATAGTTATGATATAAACACTTTCATAAAACACACTACACAACAAAATAAATCTCTTAATTGGCCAGTTAAACCAAATACACACCACTAATTATCCAACATTAATCACCACATACATGCATGTTGGGACGGGACACGCAAAGTGAGGAACATCACACCTACAACCACAGACATCCCTCCCTCCCCTCTGTGGTCATCACTGATGAATGATGGCAAACTGTCATCCCAGAGATTATGGCATTAAAATCCTTCTCCCACATCTCAAATCCGTCAACGTGACAGATTTATCAGTAGAAACTGAAAGTATGCCAGTTAAATCCAGGAGTGAGGCCTAATAGGTGCTGCACAAGTGGGTTAAAGTCACTGTGTAAGAGATTTAGCTCAGTCACTGATGCTGGGGGGATATGCCAAAGACTTAGTGCGTAAGAGCATTAGGAAAACTTCACACAAGAAAAAGAGGTTGTGTGGGAGAGACAGAGAAAGAAACAGAAATAGGACGAAATGAGGAATTATGATAGAGTACTATGTGAGGCAGAGTTTTAGTGTGTGCTGCAGAGTAAAGCCCTGCAAAGGATTACCGTGCATGCATTGTCTGGCCTGTTTACATGAGAGAGCACAAATCACTGTGAGTGTGATTGTGGTACAGACAGCAATGAGAACACAAAACGTTTCATCTCTTTAATTGGGAAGATTTTAAAAAATGTTTTTCACATATATTGCTGAAATAAGGTGGTTTTCCGGTGATACTGAATTTCTTTTCAATAGGTTCTAATCCACAGGACTGGACACTACCGTCCAGTAAAGAGAAAACCACTGACTCTATGTTACTGCGTTTACCTATTGCTTATATATAACACTAAATAACGGCACTAATTTTTTTTAATTTAGGATATAATTACACAGCAATTGTTAGAGAGTTGGACTTAACTCACTACACTAAGGGCAGGCATACTAATACTAATTTTAGCCCGTTTTTGACACGATTTTTGAGACGTACGACCTGGCGACGCTCGGCCTGATTTCACGTTTCGTCACGTGTCCCGAGCCGACCGGAGCATTTTTCCCTCAGTGCGCCTGTGCAAAGTGATAGTCACCATGGCGAGGCGTGGGTGGCATGAAAATATGGAGGCGAGATTGATAGAGCTGTGGCACTTTCCACAATAAACGTAATAAACAATAAACATACTGTCCACGTTTATTGAGCCATCTCCGACTCCAGATGCGCCGGCGCCTCTTCTTTTTTGAAATTTCAGCACACAGTATCACAGCAATCACAATGGCAGCCTTTCTTCTTTTTGAATAGCATGTTGCTAATAACCGGCATCTGAGCTTTCAAATAAATCTTTATTGACAGCTGTCAATAGACAGGGCAGTCAGCAGGGGGTTTTCACCCGCACAATTTGAGCTCCCTAGTCGTGTTCGATGGTCAGACCGTACAGTGTGAGTACATAAATCGTGAGCTTTGGCCGTACAACGTAGACGATTACTCATACAGTGTGTGATTGTATCAACAACAAGATTTTCAAAAATTGTACAGTGTATGCCCGCCCTTACTGGACACCTGTAGTTATTGTACATTGCTGCTGTACTCCCCCTACCAGTATCCCAGTTAGTTCTGTAGCTGTACTGTCTTCATAACATTATGTCACCCAGACAGTTTTATTCCTGTGAGCTGACGCCAGCCCTCCCCCCACTTGATTTTCTCTCGGGATTTCATTGCAGCTCCAGATGCATACTTTCCCATCGCACTATGTTAGGCAGGTCCAAGGTTTTTTATAGAAATATTGTGAACTATTTGCATGTATATGTATGCATTTATTATTGGATAAATAAAATAAAACTCACCACAGTGATGCAAGTTGAGGCTGAAGCGTTGGAGTTGGATCTGCTGTGATAGACGCCATAGTTTCCATACTGACGTCTGATCTCTGCAGAGGAGTGCCTGCAACCAAGCACATATGAAACACATAAGACTGTGGTAGGCAGAGACTAATAACTTCTACAACAAAACTACTGTATTCGATCATTGTACATATATATAGATACAGATCACAAAAACCTCTAAAACTTTACTTCCATTACAATCCCCAAACAAAGATAGTGGTTTTACAGAGATTGAAAAAAACTAATCCATCCAGGTCTCTACTAGTGTTAACATGAATTGTAAACTATTAACTTGCATATTTCTGGTTGCTGGCAGTGTAATACAGTTGTTGTCTTGCTAGCAGCCAAAGAGGCACTGAAAAAGTACTGACACAGGAATGGAATAACATACAGTATGTTTATTATGTCTCTGTGTGTTTGAATGTACGGAGGAATTCATTATGGGCATATCAATAAACTTCAGCTCCAAGCAACGCTGAGCCAACGTCATTTTGGTAATTGTTAATTAATCCCCAAGGTCATTGGGTCAACGACCACAAAATCTTCTGCAAAATCAAATTCACTCTACTCAACTCTACAATAAAATGCCAGTTTTGTTGTATATACAGACATGTGTATTTAATAGCTTTTGATTTTTGTTTTTGCTTGTGTTGTCCATTTGCTTATGATATCATGTGTCGTGGCTTTATTGCCACTTGTTAGGTGTGAGGACAGAGACTGCAGCAAGTAGGTCACATGCCCAACTGCTTTCACTGTGGTCAATCCCAGGGCTTCATTTAGTCTCCACGGTCATTGTTGCAACTGCCTTGTTACTAATTACCACCATAGACTCATAACCAACCATTCAGTAGAGGAATGCGCGTCTCAGTCTGCAGAGTTAGGGAGCGTTGAAAGCGTTGTGAAAACACAACCAAAGCTAAAGGTTTTTCTTTAAACACATGCATTTGTCATAGTGAGAATGTCCTTAAAATAAAATAATGAACTGGTTAGCATTCGTCACAGATCACAATCATATTTTAACTGTTATGTCTTTATTTGGGACTAAA